TAATTAAACAATATGATTTCTCCTTTAATATATTATTCCCATAATAAATCATATTTAATCCTTACTCTCCATAATTCATCCTATCAAGTTGCTTTGGTGAAGGCAACCCAAAAGGACCATGCACCATCGGGTCAAGTACATACCAAAATAGTTATGGACTTAGACACTAATCCAACATCCACACCATCCAACCTTACGATTTTAAGTCACAACTAGGGGTGACGTGTGCGTTGCGGCGGGCACAAGTTACTAATCTTATATTTTCGAAATTATTTTGACAAAACTGCAAAAATGGTCCCTATAGTATGTATTTTTTCGAGGTTTAGTCTAAGCCTCATTTCATTTGGCTTCATGGTCTTTTTGAGATAGTTTGTTTGTGGTTTTGGTCCCTCGTTAAACTGAAATGCCTGTAATGCCCTTCTGATTTTTTTTAATGTTTTTTATATTTAATTTAAATGAAAAAGAAAATAAATAATAAAGTTGGGCCCACCCCTCTCTCTCTCTCTCTCTCTCTCTCTCACACACACACAGTTCATATTCTCCAACCAAAGAACATGATTGTAGCCCCATAATATTAATTATTTTCATAAACCAAAAATGATGTGTGACAACTGTCAATTTTTGGATCAAACAAAGTCAACAAGTCAACAAAGTCAACTCAACTAGTATTAGGATTTTAGGAATTACGCGATGTTTACTAATGTTCCTAATGTACAACTTACAAATTATAATACAAAGTACCTCTCGGGATTGCCAATTATCGAATATACACCCTAATTAGGGGTAGTAATGTAACAACTCGATAATTCAGCTATATATAATTTGAGAATAAACAATATGCGTAACATAATGTAGTGGAATTCATAAACCTAACACTATGTGGCAAATTCATAACAAATGCTTCAGACACAAACTTTTGGTGAATTCGTCACCAAATATGACAAAATCTAATACCCGGCTAAACTCCAAAATTTTAAAGAGACGAACTTGGAAATAAAACATAACTTTCATGTAACGTATTATTATTTTGATAATAATGTTTGTTATAATAGTTTGAATTTTTATAATTCAAATTAAGTATTTTATACATCCTTTATACCATATTTATGTTATAAAACACCATCATTTTTATAAAAATACCTAGAGTTTATAAATGTTTGACTTTTTTTATTTATAAAAAGTCACTAGTTATTAAGCTGTACTTCCATCTTAGGGAAAATGACTTAAGAGGGTAACTACCTCTTATCCGTGTTCACATATTAGCAACTTCTTATTTTTTGTACATAATAAAGCAACTAACTTGTTTTAACTGTTTAAATTACACCAATATTACCGGCTAATATCTGTTTTAACCGGTAACTCAAAGGGAAAATGACTTAGGAGGGTAACTACCTCTTATCCGTGTTCACATATTGGCAACTTCTTATTTTTTGTACACAAGAAAGCAATTAACTTGTTTTAACTGTGTAACATCCCAAAAATCATGACCAAAAAATTTCTTTTTAATTTAATACTAAAACCATAATTATCAAACCATTAATTTAATACTCCGGCATCGGGCCCCGCCTGACATCAGTCCCCGCCTAGCATCGAGCCCCGCTCGGTATACATATATGTCCCTCTTAGGCCCCACCTATCTCTGGGGCCCGCCCGCTAAACACATACAATCCTATGACATGCTAACACATAAAGAAACATACTCTACTGTATCCTTGTCCTAAGAAACATACTCTGGTAATAATGAGATATAGAACATCGTTCGTACTAAGCTAGTGATGAGATACGGGAGCTTGTCCACACTCACCTCTTTACCAGGCACATACAAGTATCACACATACAACAAGTATAATCTAACATGAAAACATTCCTCAGGCACCCGCCCGACATCAGACCTTGGTTTGGAATAACATACTAGCAAATAATGCTTATGGCTAACCCCCGAGTCTTCCTACTCATAGACTACATGGGCTGGCATTATGACCTTAGACCCATTCACACAGTGAGGAGACTCACCTTGCACTATTGAAGCCCTGGCTGGAACTAGCTAAGTACGGACGAAGTTCTATATCTCATTATTAGCAGAGTATGTTTCTTAGGACAGGGATACAGTAGAGTATGTTTCTTTATGTGTTAGCATGTTAGATGATTGTATGTGTTTAGCAGGCGGGGTCCGGAAACAGGCGGGGCCTAAGAGAGACAAATTTGTATAATACCGAGCGGGGCTCGATGCCAGGCGGGGCCTGATGTCGGGCAAGGCCCGATGCTGGAGTATTAAATTAATGGTTTGACAATTATGGTTTTAGTATTAAATTAAAAACGAAATTTTTGGTCATGATTTTTGGGATGTTACACAGTTAAAACAAGTTAGTTTCTTTCTTATGTACAAAAAATAAGAAGTTGCCAATATGTGAACACGGATAAAAGGTAGTTACCCTCCGTAGTCATTTTCCCTTTGAGTTACCGGTTAAAACATGTATTAGCCGGTAATATTGGTATAATTTAAACAGTTAAAACAAGTTAGTTGTTTTATTATGTACAAAAAAGAAGAAGTTGTCAATATGTGAACACGGATAAGAGGTAGTTACCCTCCTAAGTCATTATCCCTCCATCTTAAATAACCAGTCACTTTAACCCTAGAGTAGCTTACCATTAGTCTAATCCATGCCCCCTATACCACCCCCATAACCCACCCAACCCACCCCCACCCCTCTTTCCCAACCCTCCTTTAACTTCGACCGGGAGGCCTTTTCCCTTCATCATTTTCTTCATTTTTGTTCTTCTTCTCCAAGAAGAGCTCTCAACTTCCACATCTAATTTCTTCCAAGTTGGTTCTTGAGTTTTTGGTAAGTATTTCATTCATAATCTAGTGATTCTACACACTTATAAACTAGTTTCAATCCATTTATACAAATTATCATGTGTTACTATTTATAGGAACTTCAAATCTTCAAGTGTTCTTAATTTGAATCTTTCCATCTATAACCTCTTATCCACCAAGAAAACACACATAAGGTGAGTTCATACCCCTTCATTTTCGATTTTTCCAAGTTTTAGGGGGAAATACAAGTAAACTTGTATAAATATACAAGTTGATTCATCACCAATATCTATGTATTTCGAATGTGTTATTTATTAGACCTCCACTAAGTTTTATAATTGTCTTCGTCACCTACTTTATGTATCCTGCATAGTTTTTCTCAAGGGTTATGAAATGAGGTTTATTGGGTTTTTTAATAAGCACCTTTAATATTTCACTATAGTTTTATGCATTAGGTTTCAATAGGAAGACATATAGGTAGATTGTGAAATATTATTATACACGATTTATGGTTCAAAATTAAACTTATAAAACTCCATAAAAAATATATTCAAAGAGTAGCATAAGATCTAATATAAGATGCAAGAAAGATGGTAGAGAGATTTGATTGCATTTGGTTAAAACGATACAGTTTTTATGGTTTTATACTTAAAATTAGGTACATAACAGCCATATATTCCCTAAGCCCATATATATATATATATATATATATATATATATATATATATATATATATATATAATATATATATATATATATATATATATATATATATATATATATATATACTTTTTAGCATCATATGACAAGATTCTTAATACGTTTTGCAAGGGGAATTGATGTAACGCTTATTTTGAGATGGTATGAGGATGTAAATGTTTGTAAGTTGGCATACACTCCATATCTAACTACAACTACGAAGTAAAAGATGGTATAAAGAATGGTGTAGATGTGGAGATTAGCATGCTTATGGCCGAATGAGACCATCTTGAAGATCAGTGGCGGACGCAGAATGTTTTAGTACAGGTGGTATTAAAAAAATTTTCCGAAAAAATCTAAATTAGTAGTGGCACTCGTATTTTAACCTGGTGCACCTAATAGAAAAAACATAAATAAATAAAAAAAAATTACACTACGTGTCGGAATCGGAGCAATGGACCCCCCGGGCTCCACTAAGATCTGCCACTGTTGAAGATATTATTAGAACTAGAGGAGGTTTTACGACCGCAAAAAAATAATGGATCTTTGACAAATTTCTCGATGCACTTTGCATCCGCATCCGCATCCACATACATCTCCTTCTACGCTACCACCACAAACATCCCTTCATCTTCACCACTCACATGCACATCCTCCTCTGCCACCATCATCACCCACCCTCATTCCCTCCTCCTTCTCACTGCCAACCCACACCTCCTTCGTAATTACCCCACCCCTTTATCTTTTTGGGAGATCCCATCTCTCCTTACGATACCATCTCAACACAATCAATTATTCGCTCCGGTGGTAAATCAATCCTCCCTAAATAAATAGAAAATATGCCTCGGGATGGTATCATATTCTTCTATAAACCTCGAAAGTCTTTTTAAGTTTTGTAAAACCAGGATTGAAAAATCCTACCATATTCAAATTCATTCGCAAGGACTTGGTATTGCCCTATACATTAAAACTTGATGTTGATGAATTAAAAAAAATAGGAAAAAAAACATCTTAATTAAAAAAAAAAAAAAAAAAAAAACATGATCATTGCGGTCATGTTGCACATGGAGCATCATGAGTGTGCTCCACCAATTTGATATGAATTGATGAAGTAGTGATGCTCTATTGTATAATAAAACTGAGCAAGTGTGATTTTGTTAAGATCCTAAGATCCTAGCTCGGATCCTAAAATTGTAATATAGATCTTGCATTCGATAGACCATACTATGATTATGGTTGTTTTTCTCTTGCCAGATTCTAAAACCGTGATATCTAAGATCAAGATCGGGATCTTAACACCCATGAATACCGGATTTAGTGTTGTGAACAAGATTAGGAAGCTTGAAAGCTGATTTAAAGAAAGATTACTTCACTTGGATAGGAATTGATTTGATAACTATAGGAGTTTCCTCACCATACATGTGTTTCCTAATTTCCACCGAATTGTCAGCATCGATTAATTATTATAAGAACCAAGAAAAGTGTCATCTTTCTATTAGTTAAAAATTTCATAATAACCTTCTCAAGTCGAATAAAATTTATTAACGAAATTTGGTAATCATACTACTTAATTGATTTAAGTCTCATATGTCCCAAATGCTCTTAAAATGAGAAATTAAAATTGAAAAAAAATATATATGTGTTTTTAAGCTGAGAGTCAACAGTAGTTTGACAATTTCTGTACTAATTAAGCCCGGTATATTCATTCAGAAAACAGACGAAATTTGAACTAGACCCACCACGAAATGGGCCCCAAACCCGCTTCACACACAAGCGACCCCTGCAATTAATACAACAATATTTATTCAATTCTAAAATTTTAATTTTGGAATATGGAAACTTGAACAAATATTTTAGCAACTTACAATGACCACCATAGGTGCAAATGGCTTTGAATCTTTTTGCTCTTTTGGGATTTCAGGAAACTTAACCTTATGAACTCGAAACCTAATCTGCAATAAAAACAACAAATATTTTATAAAATTAATTGTAAGCTCTCAAAAATTATACAATGAAAAAGGACTTCTTGGACTCGGTTAAAAGATACTGAACCTCATCATATCCATCTATAAGATATTCTGCACCATCATATTTCCATATCCATTTAACTTGGTTCCTAATGATATAAAAAGGTGACACAAATTAACCCTAAATTTAAAATTTTAAAATTTAAAATTCACAACTCACTTGTTTTCTGAGTCAGGTTCAGCAGTGATAGGACTTGGCAGTAGGAACACTGGTATGTATATATCATCAAAAAATCCAACTGATACTGCAATTTCGAATTATCATATTATCACATAAACATGATTATTATTAATTATTTTTTATGCTATATTTAAAAAGTAAATACATTCTGTGTGTGTGTGTGTGTGTGTGTTTATATATAAAGAAACTTACAGCGTATACCATCGGCGTTAGATTCTTTAAGTTTTGCAGATATAATTTCTCCTACAAAGGGTTGAAATATTATCAGCCTGAATTTCACCTGCCAAAAAAAGGTCAATAATATTAAAATATTATTTATAGTAAAAAATATTAAGAGATAGAAGTTAAAAGTTAAGACATACTGTGTAGGTTGGAGCACCCTCATTGGCAAAGATAAAACCACCATCAATTGACTGGATATCATAAACAGATATGCAAAGTCCCAAATCTTTGATAATCTGTTAACATTTAAGAATTGTTTGTTTTTTTGTATGTGTTAGGATATATATAAAACAGGCATAAACAAATATATATATATATATATATATATATATATATATATATATATATATATATATATATATATATTTAAAGACCTTATCTAAGAAAAGAGCCTCGAGCTCTCCCTTAATTGCTTCATTGATAGGAAGGCTCAAAAGATCAGGTTTCAATCGCAATGTATGCTCCAATTGGCTTAATTGGAACATATTTTACACCTGTTACATAAAATTGTGAAGTTTAATTAGGCAAATAGTTGTATAAAAAGTGTCACTATAAGTCAAGAATGGATTTTTATTTTATTTATCAAAATCAACAATTTGTAACGATGATAATTAATAAACACTGACATTGATGGATTGGTTTACAATTCTTGAAAATATGGAGGGAGTAACCGAACGTATTCCATCTTCTAAGGTAGTGTTTGGTATGATGGAATAAGGGAATGAATGGAATGGAATAATGGGAATCAATTAACTTGTCCATTCCATTCCTTTGTCATTCCAAATCATCCAACTCCATTCCTTCATTATTCTATTCCATCCAACCAAACATACCCTTAATTTTCACTTCATGTAGCTAAGAGCAAACAAACAGCTCAGTCAAGGCTTATCATTTCATGTAACCAATTAAATAAAATTTAACACATAGCAACATGTATTATAAGTGGAGCTCCAAACTCTCAATAGGAAGAAATACAAAAAGCAACCTACAAACATCATGAAAAACTCAATTTTCACATAAGTTATTCCTTCATTATGATTTCACCATATGATCAAAAAGACCATCAATGAGTATGATTTTCAGAAAACAGAAACAGAAGATGAAAATAACCTGATATGTTGAAGCAAGCAGAAACCTAACATAATCAAGTTCAAAAATTCGAAATTGATGAACATTTCTACATGGAGACAGAGGGTTGCTTGTTGAATGAAGTACTTATCACTAAAGCAATGAAAACATTCATTATATGGAATGCAAACTATTGAACGGGCAACTCATATCATGTGTTAAATTTACTCTGAATCTTTGAGAACAGGGAATACTATGAATGGCTATGCACACAAAACAGCAATTCAAGAACATGCTATTGCCTTTACTTCTCCATTAGCAGGCTCGTAGTTAATGTAATACTAGGTGCAATAAATAAATCCAAACTGTGGGAAGTTTATGTAAGGATAAAGAATCAGGGACTTTGAGTTTAAAAAACTTAATCAATAAACCTAATAAAGGTAGAAATCAAAGATGAAAGTTCAAAAATCGAACCTGAGAAGGAACGCCGGCTGGAGGTAGGGACGGAGGTGGAGTCTCCCCCGTCTGGTGTGGTCGGAGGTGGAGTCGCCGGATGGAGGTGTGGCCGGAGATGGCAGACGATGGTGTGGCGTACGTTGGTGAGGCGTGCCTTCGTCGCTCGGTAAGAATGGAGTAAGGTCACGGTATTTTCTTTTTCTTTTGACTAAATTGCTAAATCACCCCATTTGTTAAATAAGTTTAAAACTATGCCCATTTAATGAACAATTTTGTCAAAAACACCCTTTTCATCAAAAACTTCAATTTTACATCCTCTCATAAATTAGGGTTTACAACAATAATAACATCAAAAAATGTAAGTAAAAAAACTCACGAGAAAGACGACGAGGCCAATAGAGAGGGAATAATTTGATCGTTTGAGGTTCCAAGAAGTGACAACCGACTACATCATTACACCATTTCAAATTCGAAAAAGACTTGTGTAGGAGCATAGGACATGTTGTGGGACAGGGCAGGACTGCCCATGGCTTCCATATTAGAGACGGCGGCGGGCGGAAACGCATGGCGGACGAACTCGATTGCGTTCGCACGTACAGACAAACGAGAATCATTGATAATATTTTAAGTAAGAAAAAACACGCAAGACCTAGGAAAATCTCCAGAGACCCCGTCGCGGGGAGGGGCCTGGTGTTGCTTAGTGTCCCCATAACCCCTAAGGGGAGAAAGACCAGAAGAAGTTTGAAGAACAAGATAGATAGGAATTTTGGGCTGCTTAGCCGCCCCCTGACACCCCTCAGACTGTTGAGTGTCATCATCAGGAATCACAATAATCGCTTCCGGCGTCGAAGATATCAAATTCAGGAGGCGAGTAAAGTTACGCCTCGACTGAACTCGCTTACCAATATTAAGCGCACCAATAACAGCCTCTCCAATGGCTAAAATGACCTTCCTTTTGGCATGCACTCGCGAATGTTTAAGATTATGCCATCTTTGATATCCTCGACCACCTCTGTGGGGCTGGAGTAGGCACTGATAGGAGGGGCGACGGTTAAAATGGGGTGGGCGGTCAAAGGAGGCTCCTCGGACGATACTGATGTCCCTACTGCCACAGATGGGACAGGAGTAACAATGGTTAGAGCAAGCCAGTCGACACGATGGGGAGGAGGGAGATTATCGACCAAATCAGTCTCCTGATGCTCTAGCTTTCCCCGATAGCATTTCCGCAACACCTCATCCATAGATAACGGGGACTCGACCCTTGTACAGACACCAACACGGCAGGAAAGCATGTCACCAAGTACAAAACTAATATGTTACTTTCCTTGGTAAAAAAAGAGGGAAATGTAAAGAAGGAAAAGGAGAATGTACATAAAAAAGCACCTACCGTCAACGATAGTGAAAAAGATCGACATTTTCCCCTGTTATCTCCAGGAGGGACTCATCCCCACGCCAGTAAGCAGTGCTTCAAAGTACTCCTCATGGACAACCTGGATTCCTTTCAAAAGATCGACGACGGCTTGATTATGAGGAAATAGCTTAGGAGTGACGTCGACAAAGGTATTCACCCGATACCGACCAGTACTCGCCAAACCTTGGTTGACCCACAACCATTTGTCTTGCAAATTCTTGGGAGTTCTTCCGTCAGGGAGCAAGGTATGTCCCCCCCCCCCCCCCCCCCGGTCGAACAGGAAAAGTACACTTATCGCCGGTACAGCAGAACCTGAAGAAATACTTTAAAACGAAATAATCTGGGAGCAAGCCATTAGCATGACAAATTAGGGATGTGCGTTTGGACCGAATACCCAAACTGAAACCGAAACCCGGACTGGACTGACCCGAATTAGGACCGAATAAGTTATTTGGGTCGGTTCTCAGGTATCTATTTTTTCTCAATTCGGGTTTCGGGTTATTCGGTACGGGTTACCCAAATAAAAGTTTAATCGGGCCAAAAAGACCGACTCGGAAAATGAATAGTCACTTGAACCGAACAACCCAAATAAACCGGAAAGACTCGAATAACTCAAATAAACCGAAATGGCCTGAATAACCCAAATAAAGAAATTATATATTTAGTTTAAGAAAAAAATATATATTAAATTTATATATATATATATATATATATATATATATATATATATATATATATATATATATATTGAACTAGATATAGAATTTCCTTATTTTGGTTATTTTGGCCATTTCGGTTTATTTAGGTTATTTCAGTTTATTTGGGTTATTCGGTTTAAAAACATAGTGTAAATGTTTATTTGGGTTATTTCGGTCCTTTCGGGTTAATAACCGAACTGAAACTCGTATTACCTGAACCGCACCGGTCCGTATTAGTATAACCGGTCCGGGTTTTGGTTCCCATTTTTCATCCAATTCGGATTTCGGGTTCGGGTTGGTTCTGGCCCGAAGCACATCCCTGTAACAAATCATCTCAAACGCCAACATTTTATTTACGATGTTAGGAGTGCGCATCAGAACACTGCACCCGAAGTTTCTGCAAAACTTCCTCTTGAAAGTCTGAAAGAGGAAGACGTAAACCAGCGTTAAGAGTCTTTAAGTAGACCCGCACCTTACCCGGTGGGGGGGGGGGGGGACAGAATCATGGCAACAAGCAACGGGAACTCAACACCGTCCGCCAGTGAAAGGCCGTACGCATCTCCAAGAAGTTTGAAATCGACCTTAGAAGGGGGTGCACCAAGTTGACTGGCCATGAGAAAATGGTTAAGAATAACCCTAGAAGAAGAAAAGAAAGAGAGGAAAGATAGCGTGAAAAGGAGGTGTTAAGCGTCCTTATAAAGAAAGGGAAAGGTGGGATATTAAAAATCCCTAACATGACGACGTAACTGACAACCATGATGAGCAGTCACATCGCCATTAAAATCGAAGCAACGGATAAACCAGAAACGGACACGTGAACATAGTAGTTGAGTCCAAAACAGTGTCGCTAGCGTAGTAACGCTATGGCTACTGGACTAGGGGACTTGATAACGTGCCCTAGCAAGCATGAAAGGAATTGTATCCGACCATGACAGAACGCCTCAAGGCATAGGTCGCCTGACAGGACCGACCCGACGAAGCTTAGCGCCCGCCATGTAACGCCCGATTCCTGGTATGTATTTAAATAATAATTATTCATTTTTGCAAGGGGACTCGACTAGTTGGAGGCCCCAAACTCGTCGAGTAGGAACAAAACATTTTTGGACGCAGGATTTGAAGTCTATTCGACAAGTCGAGGAGCCACAAATCGAAGAATAGGACTGCGAGAGTGAAACCCTAATTCTTAGGGTTTACACCCTATTTAAAGACCTTAACAACCCATTTTGGCCTACCTCATCGCCTCCATTAGTCCAGAAAACCCTAATTCGAAACCCTAACCCATTGTGAGTGTTCTTGAGCCATTGTTGTGTGTTATTGGTGATTTTGAAGCTTGAGAAGGAAGAGGAAGCTTGGGGGTTCAAGAGGAATCAAGTAGTTCCAGAGTTTGTGCTCCATTTCCAGTTCATTTGAGGTATAAAGTCTACACCTTGACTATTCATTTGCTAGATGTCTTCATGGAATAGTTTAGGGCTTTCAGGGGCATATTTTGGAACCCTTCATGGATGCAATCATGTTTTGGGGTATTGACTTCAGATCTGGGAATTTTGAGGGACTCCATGGCATAAAGGTGCTAACTTTATAGCCATGGGAGACCCATGAAACTTGTGAAACTCATTTTAGGGTCTTTTGAGTTAAATAACCCATACATGAACGTAAAGTTCGTAACTTTACGTATTATATCGACCCTATGAGGCCATATCTACATTTTGGATGCATTAAGCCCGACTAAAATAGACTATATGGGTTTAAACTATGGGGGAATCGTCGAGTCGCTCATACGACTCGACGAGTTGGGTCATGGTTCCCCAACCTTTTCTGTTATCGAGCAAACTTGTTGAGTCTAGAAGATGACTCAGCAAGTTGGACGTGTTTATGGACTTGAAGATCAAAGAACTCGACGAGTGTAAGGATGAACTCGGCGAGTTGATGGAAAATGTCTCAACATCTATGAAGTAAAACTTGACGAGTTCAAGGAAGAATTCGGCGAGTTGCGAATGAAATGCCCTGTCTTGTATGAAGGGGAACTCGACGAGTTCATGGAAGGAATCGACGAGTTCAAACGGAAAGTCTCGATTCTGTCATAAGGAGAAACTCGACGAGTTAGAGGGTAACTCGACGAGTTAGATCGCGAGTTCAAGATTCTTTGAATCATGGAACTCGACGAGTTGACAGGCCAACTCAGCGAGCTGAATCAACCATAATGTTGACTTGGACCAGAAGGTTGACTTTAACCAGAGTGTTGACCTTTGACTTGACCATTAACCAGTGTTGACCCTTAAGGGTTATAAGTTTAAAAGAGTAATTAAAAGAGATTTTATGTGTAGGAGTTTGAGGAGAGTTGATCCCAACACCAAGTACAGTTCAACGACTTCATGCCATTGAGATGAGTTACCTTCCAGTAGAGGTGGGTCTAAGGCACCAATGCCGGCCCACCAGTAGGTGCTTATGATTGAGATGATTGTATTTGTGATAATTGTCTGGTAAGCCACTATCTGATATGCTTTTATGTGCTAGGATGATATGATATTATGTGTTAGTGGTAGGAAGGGTGAAATAGTCCCCAGATACCGGTTGAAAGATACTGAATGAGTAGACAGTACCCATGCATGCCTAGCAGTATGTTCATGTTATGTTTTTATGTGGTAGTGGTACGAGGTGAAATAGTTCTCGGTTACCGGATGAAAGATACCGAGGGGAGCCTAGCTCCCGGTTACCGGTTGGAAGATACTGAAGAGGAGTCCAACCCTAGTTATGCTAGACAGATACCGAAGGATAGGCATTATGTGTATGTGGTATGATGGGGGAACTCACTAAGCTTTGTGCTTACGGTTTTCATTTTTGGTTTCAGGGACTTCCTCTTCAAAGGGAAAGGAGACGACACGATAGCAACGTATCAGACACGATTTTCCGCACATGAGATTTTTGGGATTTATACTCTGACATTGTTTTATCATGATATGTTTTGACTATTGATACTATGGTTTTGATATGATTTGATGCTATGGTTGTTTTCAGACGAATGGTTTTATAATTATTAAACTTAAAATGAAAATTTTTGGTTTGTATTTTTAGGATGTTACACGCCAGCGCCCCTGAGAGCAGGGCGCTCCCGTAGAAAGGCTCGCCTCGCTTGGGGTGTCTTCCGCTCCGAGACAAATGTAACGGTCAAGATACAAAGCAAATGTTCAGGTCATTACTACCAGAACCAATCACAGTGCTATGACAGATAGAGGAGCATGATCCTCCTATCAGCGCTCTTGATCCTGTCGGCTCTGACGATCCTGTCCCGTACGGATGATCAGGAGCACCTAATATAAAAGGCTACCATCAAAACCCTGATAGGTAATCAGTCTTCTCCAAGTAATATACACCAAAACCCTAGAGCACCTAACTAACTTGACCATCAGAGCATCTTCCCGGGAGCTCATCCTGGGAAACGGTTGACGACCTCTTTTCAGTGTGACCTCGCAGATCCGTCTCCGGTGCAGAAGCACTCTCCCAATGTGACATCCCCATTTTCACGGCTAGAAAAGACCGATTTTTTTTTATGCTTTATAAAAATCAGAGTACCTCTTTTAATAAAAATGTTGTGGAATTTGTTCCCAGTAAAACATGATAAATACGTTATCAAAGCATTTCCGAAGAAAAGTATTTTTATTCATTTTAAAATATTTGGGATGTCATCGTCAATACGGAAACACAAGCATAAACATAACTTACATTCATTATCACTAGTGATTTATATCTCCTTAATCTCTCAGTGTAATGTGACTTCATATCAACACATGTGATATAAATAAACTTAGTGGGTCAGGTTGGGAAGCCTGGTGAGTACATAGAGTTTTCAACCCACAATAAATAAGTTTATTAAGTTTATCAAACCAAACAAACCCGATTACCCGTTCCCGTTATCCTTACTTTACGTCCCTAAAGCATCTAACACAAGGGACCTAGTCTAAGGACTTTCATCGGGGTGACAACACATTCTTCGGGGGTTCCTCATCAATTCATGTCAAATAAGGAAACCATGTGGGGGATGGAGTATTGCTGGTGAGCACACAATTCAAATAAACACCTACATGTTGCGAGTCTGCTAGCATTCCACTGGACTGTCTAGAATAGTCCGTGATCGTCATCTATACTCTGCTAGATGACTGGATCATCAATAAAATCTATAACGAGGCCTCTCATTATTTTATTTGGTCACACAACAACTATTACATCTATCCATGTTTTACCCAACACATTTTGTAGATATAAAATACATATATAGTTTAAATCATTTAAAACATGTATAAAATCGTTCATCAAACATAGATAGCAACTATACAGATAATATGCACACATAACACGTAACTTATATAAAATACTTCATATCTATGTGTAAGATGAAAGTAACTATGCAATCACCTGATAAGGTGGTGATTCTGAATTTAGACAACGCTTCGTTACTTCTTAAAACAATTTCCTTCGACAAAAACCTAGTATCATTAAAACTAGGGTTTAGTTTAATATTCACCAAGACTAATTAATAGTATAGCTATTATTACTATTATATAAGCGTTAAACAATACTTATATAACCCACAATAATAGCCCAAGTACTTATTATAAGTTCCTAATAACATTACTATATTAAAACATAAGCTATACTAAAGATAGGTTAGGCGTAGTTCACTTACAACGGGTTTTTATCAAAACCGGGCTTCACTGGAGCAGCGTTTCTGAGCGAAAGGCTCTTCTTCTCGGGGCCGTCGGGCACTCCGGGGCTTCCGCCTCGTGCTAGGGGGGTTCCCTAGGCTTTTCGGGGGGTTTCGGGGCGTAGAGAGAGAGAGAGAGTATAGAGAGATGAATGAAGGGTTAAGGTGTGAAGAATGAAGGAGAGGATGTCTCTATTTATAGGAGGATGAATAGGCTCCCACGTCGTGGCCATTTGATGCCCACTTTGTGGCCAGCTGGGTGCTGACACGTGGCATCGCACACATGATGGAAATCAACCGATTTTCAAAAAGTCATAAATTTCGCATACGAGCTCTGTTTTCGACGTTCTTTATATCCACGCATAGGTAAAAATAAGATCTACAACTTTCATTTTGAATTTGTCGGCTAATTCTTGACCGATCTTAAATTTAACAGTAGGAAGAGATTAGACTATTAAATGACCCGAAAAATTCGTAACTCCTTCATATGGACTCCGTTTCTGTCTGTCTTTTACTGTTGATTTCCTATTAATGAGATATTCGACTCTCATTTAGGTCGCGTAAGCCAAAAACTGCTCGAACTAAAATTCGAGTTTCGGGCCGTGCACTGTAAGCCAAATATTAGAAAAATCATAATTTCCTCATACGAAGTCAGATTTGAGCGTTCTTTTTATGGACGCTCTCAGGTTAACATATTCTATGACTTTCATTTAGATCACTAAGGCTAAAAGTTGTTCTATCATAAATTCTCTATTTACGTCTTCCCGGTGCCGTACCGGTTCCGTCGCGAAACTTCGACGGGTCATAACTTCTTCGTAATAACTCGGATTTCGGTGCTATTTATATGTACGAAACCCTTGGTACATATTCTACTACTTGGTTAATATTATTTATTCTAAATAATCTTTTGTCTAAAAGTCGTTTCCAACCCCTATTATCTTTAAATTGAGTAGCACGGATCTACGGGCGTTACAATTATCTCCCCCGTTAGGATGATTACGTCCCGGAATCATCAACGAAACAAGACTCACATGATGACTCCATACGTTATCTCTTCATCCTAAGTAATAACCGTAACTTTGATGTTTCTTCGAATGAAACGCTCTTGCCTTTGGTTTTGGTGGAATGTTGGGCCTTGTCGCCTTTTTCTTCTTTGTGCAATCCTTAGCAACATGCCCTTCTTCATGACATTCGTCAAGGATCATATGGAACACTCTTTCTTCTTTGGGCACAGCCCTTGGGGTGGCTCTAACGACCTTGTATGTTGTGACCTCACAAATCTGTCTCCGGCGCAGAAGCACTCTCCTAGAGCAGGTGGTCAGAGCGGATGTCGCATCAATAAATATACGCATATGTATATGTATATGAATAAATATACACATATGCATATGTATATGAATAAATATACACATATGCATGTTATATGCATGCCAACATAACGTATCCAACAACAAGCTTTTCAATATCATTAAACAAGGCCTCACAAGATCTTTGCCTACTCTTTTCATTTAAAATTATAAAAATAAGTATATTATTTAAATTGTTTAATAATTTATATATTCAACTCATAGATTAATATTTTTTTATGAAAATATGCAACAATTAAATTGTATATAATACAATAATTGTTATGCCTCACATTTCGTAAAAGTTAGAAATTACAATATGTTTTTATTTATTCATACATTATATATTTTACTTTTAAAATCTGATTTGGAAATAAAACAAATAGTAAAAAATTATAATAAATACATTAGTAGAGATGCTTTAAGTTTCTTGTTTCACATCTTAAAGTATATCATATAAAATGGGTAAAGTGTTTGAATGATATTTTGGAAAAGAATCATGTCAGCATGGATCACAGTGAATGGGTCAGATACCCTACAAATATGGAACATGAATTTGTAAGCAAAAGTACAACATGGTATGGAATTGGCAATTACGTAGAAGATAAAAACCAATATTATGATATATCAAGAGGAAAGATGGAAGGAATCATTCACATAGAAATTTTGACTGATAAGAAAACCAGCATTACAATTAAGCTCCTGTAAACAACAACTGACAATAATACCCTTCAAGAATGTTTGTGGACAGTTGTTAATTTAAGATGGAGGAGGAGTTGTGCCAAAAGTGAGATTTGTGGATTGTTACCAGACGCATCAACTGATAACTCAAAAAGCATATAAAGCAAGTTACCACCACTTGAAGGAGCTTGAGAAGAAGGTGGCACTAGAGTTGAAGTTAAATCAAATTTTGCCTAATTTTCATTTAACAAAATAGGAACATGAACAATAGAAGGTGGAATTTCTTGTGCTTGTGGGACCGGGACTGAAGCAGATGAAGGAGAAGATCCAAGATCATCAATATCAAAATAAATTAAAGAACTTTCTCTTCTTAGTTCAGTTGGAGGAGGACTCTCATTAAAAGACGCCAAAATTGTTGAACTTCCAGCTACATTTGGAACTTCTAGCTATAGAAGTTTTTACAAAAATTGTTGAACTTTCAACTACAGTTGGAACTCATGCACTAGTTAGTGCTACATTTCTAAACTTGTTGGGGTTGAATACCCCCCCCCCCCCCCCCTATTTAGATCTAAAATAATTTTTAGCTAAATTGTTTTATGTAAGCTTATGGTTTTAATGGATGTTTTGTAAAACCCCAAGCGCGCTAGAACAAATTCTTTATTTTTCTACAAAAATAAGGATTTAATGCCCAAAAATTCAAAATAAATAGTTATAGATGAGATAAAAATCTGAAAAATTATAGAATTGATTTATGTACAAAATATGGATGTCACCTAAATTTTCATACAATTTGGTCACTGTTTGAAATTTTATTCAAATTTTTCGTTGAATTAGAGCATGAATTTACAAAACCGGGTCTTATAACTCAAATGCACAAACCAATATTTTCCCCAGCTTTGGGAACATTATTATAACCTGTACAAATTAATTTGTGAAATTTTGCAACTATTTACTATTTACTTTGAATTTTTCTTATTATTTAGACTTAAATTGCAAATTAATAACAAATTTCCTTCAAAATTCTCAATAAAAGTTCTAGACACTTATACCCTCTGTTAGAACGAGAATACAAATTTTTACAATTTTTGGAGTTTATTTAATGCCTTTATGGATTTTTGAACACAAAGCACCGTGAGTTCAATATTACCAATAATGAACCGAACAAACTTTGGGCACTTTACGACACCACTACTAGGATATATATATATATATATATATATATATATATATATATATATATATATATAAGTTAATAACCCGTGAGAACCACGGTTATAAAATTAATTAAATTTTCTTAGTAGAAATTCAAAATTATTAATCAAGTATTTCAAAAAAAAGTATTTTAAAAGAATTATTAATTAACAGATATTTTTTCAGTTATAAAAAATTGTGATTGTTGATTTAAATAAATACATAAATTTACATCATCTTATAATATATATTTATTTTATTTTATTTTTTATTCTAATGTTATTAATTTAATGTAATTAAAGTGTAAAATTTAAAATTTAAAATTTGAAATGAATAATCAATTAATCCTCTCTAAAAATGAAGATTTTTTTGCCACTTGTCACACGGTCATTCAATTTGCCAAATGTTATTTTGTGGTTATTTTGAATTTTTTTTTCCACGTATCATTTTATGAGTTTTTTTTTATTTATTTTTATTTTATTTATTTTTTTTATTTATTAAATTTCATATAATATTTTAATGTAATAATATTAATAAATATAGTAATAAATGAATATCAATTTCATTAATGAATTAACATTTAATTTCAAAATTTCCAAAATTAAAGCTCATTATTTTCTTTTATTTATTTAAATTATTTGTTTAAATTTAAAAGATAAAAAACATTTCCATTATAATAATTCATTATTTAACCTTTTTATTTAAATTAACTCATGTAATACATGGGTCTCACACCTAGTAATTATATGTAATTAGAGTGTAAAATTTAAATTTTTAAAATTTAAATAGAAAATTATTAGGTTGATATATGTCATGATAGGTGATATATAATATTAATGAGGATTTCTAATATTATGATATTATCAATAGGAGAATAAATTTATTCATTTATTAGAATAGGAAAATGGATATATATATATATATATATATATATATATATATATATATATATATATATATATATTCACATTTAATAATTTAATAATGACATGTTAATTAGATATAAATACACCATAAATAATTTTTGTTAGAAATTGAAAATGTAATGGCTTTCACAGAATTAATATAATAGTTTCTCGAATAAAAATTAAAAAATATAATCCATTTTCTAAAAAATTACAATTTGAAATCTTATAAAAAAAACATGAGAAAATTACAAATTTAACCAAATACATTAATTATTTTGTGGAAAATAGCAAAAAAAAAAAAAAAAAAAAAACTCAAATTACAAAATTAGCCCTTAAAATCGCTGATGGACTAAGTCCATCTGTGATTTCGCATTTCCATTTACGAACGTACAAGTGCCTAAAGCACATCCACACTTTAGGCATTTGTACGTTTGCAGATGGAACAGTCCATCTGTGATTTTGTACATTCTATCTGTGATTTCGTAACTATTTTGTATAAATGGTTTTTTTTCTTTATTTTTCACTATCTTTTTTTAGAGAAACTCTTTGTTTCCACCTTCCACCAGTTACAACGCAAACCAAATATTTATTCATTTTTTTAGAGAGGTTTTAAACAATTTTTCCAAAAAAATAACAACAAAAATGATAATTTTTAACTTTTTTTTATATATAATAAGGTTGTTTCGTAGTTAAACCCTATCAATTTCGTAGTAAAAAACACACACAGACACAGAATCGCAGGTGAATATAGAAGAAATCGCAAATAGACATAATACATCTACGATTTTAGGCTGGAAAGGGGTTATACATACAACGAAAAAAACTCACTTGCGAACGTACAAGTTGCTAAAATATGTTTATGCTTTAGCTACTTGTATGTTTACAGATGAAATGGCAAAATTACAAATAGATCGTACCATATGTGATTTTAGGGTTTTTTTTTTTTTTTCTTCACACAATAATTAGTGTATTTGGTTAAGTTTTTAATTTTTCTCAAAAAAAAAAAAAAAAAACATTTACGGTAACAAAAGGTTTATCAAGAAAATAAAACAAAGCGAAATCCTCTGTCGGCCTTCTCTCTGCTTCCTCAGGGCAGTTTAGTTTTTGTCACTGTGAATTTGTCTCTACAAGGCGATGATCGGCGCTCGTATCGGAGATTCATCACAAGATACACTGGAATTAGGTAAACTTAATCACTTTCTATTACTAATTTCAAGTGTTTCACTTCACATTAACCTTTTACCCTAACACCCTACTTCAGTATTGATTAATCGCCGTCATTCTATATAACATGCATAAATGGACCTATGTTAATCCACTCTTCAACGCAACCAATCTTCCGAACATGATAATTATATCTAACTAAAGTGTATAACCCCCAATTTGATCCCGGAGTTGCTGTGCATCGATAATGTTCTTACTTAGTCATGTGAGGAATGCATAATTGATTAATCGGCCCTATTTTAAAATTGATTACAGCAACTTGAAGAATATCATATAATCAAATGTAATCATATAGTTTAAAATGCATATTTTCCGGTGACAGTGGATGTGAATATAGCAGCTGATGGTAGTACTAGTGATGTTTCATGTGAAGAAAGGGGTGTTGAAGAACCTTGTGTGGGTATGGAGTTTGAATCCGAGGATGCTGCTAAGAAATTCTATGATGAATATGCACGACATACAGGATTCAAAATGCGTATCGATCAGTGTCGTCGTTCAGAAGTTGATAAAAAAATTATATCTCGCAGGCTTTCTTGTAACAAAGAAGGTTATTATACAAAATCCAAGAATCAATTTGGGCATATAAGGAAACAACATACGAGTTCAAGACAAGGTTGCAATGCAATGATGCTTGTGAGAGTAAATAAATTTGGGAAATGGGTTGTGACTAAATTCGAAAAAGACCATACTCATCCATTAGTTTTGTCAACTTGTCTTTCTGTCAACGAAGGGGTAAGTTTGTCATTTCTGTGATGTCATGTCTAAGGGTTCTTATAATCTTATTGGTTGCAATTTACTTGGTAGGATTGTAAAGAAAGGAGAATTCAAGGATTGACTGCAGAGTTGAAGCATCAAGATGGATTAATTAAGTTTTACAGGGAGCATCTATGCATGCTTTTAGGAGAAATTGAGCAGCAGACGGAAGTTTTGTCAACAAAAATCCAAGTTGCTGTTAATAATGTGAGAGAGATAGAAACAAAAGAGCAGAAATAGTAGAAGTAGCTACAGTTGAAGCATAGAAAGTGAGTTGAAATTCTGTTTGTATTTCTCATTAGTCACTTGGATCTTGTTATTTAGTGTATGTATATTTTTTTTGTTAGTAGGAACAAAAACATGTAGATGTACAAAATAGAAGTTCAAATTCTATACAAAACCGAGGATGTTGATGAAGATGATGATACTGGTTTTTAGAAGTAATGATCTTTGATGATTGATGCTGCTTAATTTTGATGTCAAGTTTTGCCGAAGGAAGGGGATGCATATGAAAATTGTTGATGTCTTGATCCATAACAGGCAGCTCAACAGCATTATTTTGATTTTGAGGTTAATAAGAAAAATACGAGAATTGGAGAAAGGTAGTATATGTACTCCTTGTATATGGAACTTGTATTGTTAGATCAAGAAGCCATTCAGGGACTTGTAAAATGACATAAAAAAACCTTGTAGAATGTAGAGTATTGAGTTTCTTTTAATAGTTAATAAAGGATATATTTGGAAGAATTTGAAAAAGTTCGGTAAGTTCATTGAAATGTTAGTCTGAATAGCCTCTTAGAAAGTTATAAGCTATTTTTTTTGTTTGTCACAACCTAAAATAGCTCAAAACATACGCTAATATGGCATGACATAGCCTTATTAGTTATTACTATTACTATTATTATTATTATTATTATTATTATTATTATTATTATTATTATATAGGGTTCGATTCTGATTTCTTGTTTTACGGTGTTGGTGGTGGACGGAGGTGATGATTGAAGGCTGGTTCTACAAAAAAAATTAGATTATTTACATTTAAAATATAAAAAGGAGCTGAATTCCATAAAAACCACTATAGTTTTTTTGTTTGTTCTTTTGTTTAACCACTAAAAGTTTTTTTGTTTAATTTTTTTAAAAATTTTTTATTTTTTATTTTTAACCATTGAAACGAAGGTGATATCGGCAGCATTTGTTTTTTTTGTGGTTTGGTTATAAACTGCAGCGCCAATTTTCATTTTTTTTTTTTTTTTTTTTTTTGCATTAATAGTTCGATTTTTGCTCATCTCCAATTAACTAATAAATTTCACACCACTCGGTTTTATAGAATTCAAACCTGTTGTGTATATTTTTTTGAATTTACAGATGGATTTTTGGTGACCTCCAATTTACATGTATATATTAAATGAATGAAAAAGAAAAGAAAAATGACAGCAACCTAATGGATACGTACCCTAAACTTTGAATTCTATAAATGGATAATGTACTCAAAGGTAACATAGTTTAGATTGTGTACACATTTAATTATTTATTTATTTATTTTTTTTTATATATTTAATCCCTTATGTTTTTTTATTTTGTACATATATAACCAATACGCTTGATGGTCATATGTGTACAAAAGCAAAAACATAAGTGACTAAAATGTGTATACAATCTAAAGGTACATATATATGGCCATCAAACGTAATGATCTCATTACCATATGTATACAAAATAAAGAACATAAGAGACTATATATATATATATTATATATATATATATATATATATATATATATATATATAATATATATATATATATATATATATATATATATATAAAAACATAAATGACTAAATATGTACGATATCTAGGGGTGCAAACGAGCCGAGCCGAGCCTGAGCTTGGTCAGGCTCGGCTCGGACTCGTTTAAGTTATACAAGGCTCGAGTTCGAGCTCGGCTCGATTCGAGTTTTCTTTTACTGAGCTCGGCTTGGGCTCGTAAAGAATTATACGAGCTTGGTTCGGGCTCGAGCTCGGCTCGTTTGTCGTTTGATGTGCCTAAATAAGCTTAAGCTCGACTCAAGCTCTTTAAGAAGCTTGTTTACTAATACCCGAAATCCATAATTTCCTAAATATGTTTTTATTTTAATATATGAAAATAATAATAAATTATATTATATTAAAGTTCGTTTAGGCTCTCGAGCCTAATCGAGCTTAGTGACATAGGTTTGAGCTCGAGCTCGTTTAATAAACGAGCTTAATATTAAGCTCGAGCTCGGCTCGTTTAAAACCGATTTCGAGTCGAGCTTTTAACGAGCCGATCCTGAGTAGCTCGCGAGTAGTTTAGCTCGTTTGCACCCTAACGATATCTAAAGGTACCCTTTGAGTACATCATCCCTTCTATAAAACCAAGTGGTGTGAAATTTATTCAGTTAACCACCAACTTTAATCAAAAAATTATTCTTTCAAATGGCTTTGTGGTTTTCTACCTTTCTTTAAAACAAACTCTTTAACATTCAAACTTATGAAAAAAAATAAAAAAACAAACAATATTGGTATTTTTTTTTGTCAAATGTACGCCATTTAGGATGCCAACCAACTTAAATCGAGGTCAATGATTAAAAAAAAACATTATGTCATTTCATATGTTTAACAATCTATATGATATACAATCAAACAATTAGAGATGTAAAACACCAAAATGGAAATACTTCATGGCTAAATAGCAATGTTAACACTTGAAACAAAGGCAATCTAACTAATCAACCAAAACACAAAATGCCATAATAATCCAAACCCATCATCTTCTTCGTTTCTTCAGAAGTGAAGCAGCTCGTAGAACCACTCGATCAACCTCATCAAAATCAAAATCGGGCCCCACATCCTTTTCCTTCTTTGAGCCCGCAGATATCCTCCTTAAATGTTCCTCAAAATCTTTTTCATCCACCTTACTTTGAACCTGAAACTTGTCAAATTCATCCAAATAAAGCGGTTTTTCATCCTCGTTCTTTATAATCTCTTCATCCGTTTCACAATCTGTCTCAAAAATATCCGACAAATCTTCTGAATCCGAAACAAGTTCCGAACCATTAACACAATCATCATCATCATCATCATCATCTTCATTGAACTTATTATCATTTTTACCGAGTTCTCTCAGCTTTTGTTTAGCTTCAAGTTGAAGATTTGAATGTTCTTGAGGTTCATCAAATTGTGTATTTAGATCAATTTCTGATTCATTTTCAGCCTTTGCATGAAGAAGCTCAAGATCATGTTCAAGTCTTGGAATGTATCTTCTAACTGCACGAAGGGCGTCTCTGTATTTTGATTTGTCTAATGCCTGCAAGATAGGTAAAAGGTCAAATAGGGTTGGATTGGAACGGGTCGGGTCGGGTCGACCCATTTTGATCACTCACAAAAAAAAAAAAAAAAGAATATACCTTTTTCCTAGGGAGGGTAACCCTAGGGGACATTATCTCTGTAGGTGGTTGTGAATAATTCTTTCCTCTATACATAATAATGGTTTCATCATCTTCCAGAATTTTAAGCACAATTCCTCCAGTCAATCTTGCAAGCTCTACTGCCATCTCCTTCACCTCCTCTCGTGTAAATGTCTTCACAATCACTTGCAGAGTCTCGTGTTTTTTCCAATGCAAATGCATGTTGAGAATCACACCTTGATATATTCCCCTTCTTCCAATTGGCACGTAATTCTTGCTTTTTATGCCCATTTTCAAGAAGTAAAAGTGTTCTTCGGGTGTCAGGATTTCTGGATCGTGGGTTGTTTCTGATGATTCTTTTGGTTCGATCTTCTTCAATGCTTCAACCAATCGTTCCTCCTTTTTTCGAGCCTTATAATAATAATAATGATGTTTGTTATTTGTTGGAAGAGTTTATAATTTGGATGTGTGTATAAAACATTAAACAAAGTTTACCTTTCTCAGTTTGAAGAGAATTTTTTCTTCTGATGTCATTCTTTCATAATCTTTCTTCTTCTTGAATCTGAAGAACTTGAGCCATCTTACAACTGCTCTTTTCCCCTTTAACTTTTTCCTCTTTGGTTTAGTTTCAGCTGAACCATTAGCTACAGTCTCGGTTCCATGGCTCAATGCTGGCTCAATAACTTTGAGAACTGTGTCAATAGGAGCTGAATGATACCACACCATACCCCCACCCCCATGGAAGCATCTTTTGGCTCCATGTAATGAAATAACAGCTTGTTCATGATGCAGAACCTTGTATATAACATCAGAAAAACTACTATACTATGAGATTAGCAGAAAAACCCTCTAATGGTGAAGAGCTAAAACGAAAAGAAATAGGAGTAGCAACCTTATTCAGTCATGTTTTTATACTTATGAGAATTGAACATGGCTGGTATAACCAGATGAACACAATTACAATACTCTGGATCTTGATTAAATTCGAATAAGAACAGACAAGTAATTTAAACAAAACTGAAATAACCAAGCTAACTAACTAGCAAAATACTCAATCGTCCCCCTTACGTACCATGATATCTATCAACTGATCAATATCAAACACAGTTTCTTCACATTTGAGTTGGAAGCACGCATTTTGATGAACGATATAAACTTAATATTGTGGACGATTCGTAATCAGATGCAACGGGAGAGTGTGTACCTGGGCTCGTGAAGAAATTGGCGATATAGAAACGGGGTGAAGATGAGATTCTTCAGCTGTTTCGATTTGCAAAATGTCATTGAAGCTAGAGCTCCTATCATCATTTCATGATTTTTTTCCCTTCAAGTGCTTCCCTTTACGATTGCCTAGGGTTTATGTTGGGTCGAAGGGAGCTTTGAGCCAAAGCTCAAAATTCAAATGCCCCTATAGTTGAAACCTAAACCCTAGTTTTTCTGAGTGTGAATTTGTGAGGGTAAACGTTCGGTGAAGCGAATTTCGATTTTCCTTTAAAAAATTTTGAAATTTTAAAATGTCAATAAATTTATTAAAAGTGCATTTAGACAGGTGAGTTTTTCTGACTGTGGGTCGAATGCATTAATATCGATCTACTAGATTATGTATCCAGGGTAGAGATGCACACAAAAACCGGTTTCACTATTCAAAATCGGATCCAATTCGAAACCGAATTGGGTCAAAATCGGTTTTGACCAAATCGAATCGGATCGGATTTAAAACCAGATTTCGGTCGGATCGTAATCCTATATTCCAAATCGGATTTGATACCGGATCGTAAACCGGATTCACTAAAAACCGGATCCAATCTGCCCCAAAATCTGCTTAAAACTCATTAAATGGTTTAAATCGGTTTCAAATCGGATTCGGATTTTGGTTGGAACCAGATCGGATTTTGACCAGATCGGTTTTTTGATGATGTAAGCAAAACCGGATCGGATCAGATCGGATTCGGGTTTTGTGCATCTCTAATCCTGGTTATAGGATAGTGATATGCTAGTATATAACTGATTGGTAGAACTGTATGATCATCTGTTTTTGTTGGTTCTGTGTTTATGTTTATCTGTTATATATGTCGATATATTGTGTTGAGTTGAGGCGGTCTTGCTTTGTGCTATACGCCAAGACACCTGGGGGCGACCGGATAGGCTGTAGGCCCTGCGAGGTGGTTTAATTATGTCGGCGGTCTATAGAGCGGTCCAGATAGGTTGTAGCCCATGCGAGGCGGTCCAGTTACGTCGAAGGCTTGTAGAGAGATCCGGATAGGATTTAAACCCTGTGAGACGGTCTAGTCAGGCTGGTTGCTCATATTTGTATGCTTGTTTGTTATGTGGTGTGCTGGTACTTTGGAGGAGTTCACTAAGATTTGACTTACAATTTTAGTTTATGGTTTCAGGTACTTCAGAGGATCGTGGGAAAGAGAAGGCGTGATCGTGCACATCTTCCTGTTTTATGTTACTGGGTCTTGGAAAAACTATGATTTTGAAATAATACTTTTGAAATAATGACTCTTTCTGTAAACAATGTTGGTTAATTGTTAATTTTGAAAATTTTAAATTTCTTTGATTTTTGGAGAGAGCCTTGGTTTGAGAGAACTGGATGAACATTCGTGTGAATCCAGACTAAAACTAGGGAACTACAATTTTTTTAATGGTTTTCAAAATAACCAAGGAAGGATGCGATGTGTAAGATCAGCCGGAGCAAGTGAGTATACCCTAAGTTACCCACACTATTATTTGATATTATGTTTATGTTAGAACAACATGCTACTGGTAGGCTAGGGATCTTCAGGAGTTGCATGATAGGATTTCCTGATGTATGATGCCTTATTTCCAATAGAGTTTTCTTGCTAATATTTGTATGACTCTTTCAGGTGTGAATGAACTATTAGTTGAATGCATTAAGTCACATGATGCATGGGTTAAATAATTTTAGAGTGAAGGATTTGGTCATATTACGCAGTTCTTGTCTGAGTCCAACCGTTGTCGGGTTAAATCTTTTAATCTAAGATTATTTAAGTTATGTTGCATGTGATTGTATTCATGAAGTAGTTAACTGGAACCAATGGGGGCCGTTTGGCAGTTGATGTTATGGTGAGGTATGGATCATAGGATAGCCTAGGGAGTATGTAGTTACACTTTAGACTATAAATCCTTATGGAAGATAGGTTGGACGATTTCTAGGGCTTGGATAAGCCAAAATCGTCCAAAGGGTATCTAAGGTAAGGATATGGATTAACTTAAAGTCTAAGTTATCCAATTAGGGTTTAAGCTGTAACCCTTAAGGAGTCTACAAGTATAAATAGACCCTATGGGATAGAGAATTCGGTATCCATCTAAAGTAGAGAGACTCTGGCCGAATTCCTCCCCTCTCCTCTCTCCCAAATCATCCTCCTTGCTATTTGGTGTTTGTAAGCCATTAGAGGAGTGACAATTGTGACTCTAGAAGCTCCAAGACAACAAGATCAACAAGGAATCCAAAGGTATGATTCTAGATCTGTTTCAATATTGTTATTACACCTAAATAGTCATTAGAAGTCTTGGATTCAAAGCATGTTTGATTAGAAAGCCTAGATCCAAGCATTAGGGTTTTGCATGCGCACATAGGAAAGTTCTTATGGCTAAAACCCATCAATGGTATCAGAGACTAGCTTGGTTTTCATTGAATTATTGCTTGATTGTATGAAACTAAACTGAAAAAATTCGATTTTTATGTTTCTGAGTCATGGACTCGGCGAGTTCCAAAGTGGACTCGGCGAGTAGGCCTGACTCGGTGAGTCCCTTTGTGTACTCGGCGAGTCCGAGCGTCAGGATTAGCCAAAAACGGGATTTTTTTTCATATTTATCTTATGGAAACTTACCTTAATCATATTAGATCAACCCTAATCCGATTAATAAAATATTTGATTTCCTTATATGATAATTATTAATCAAATATAGATAATTATGTGATTTAGATTATTTGTTATTTGATCCTTTATGTTTTAAATGTTTAAAACTTGTCCTCAAGTTTTGAAATTTATGTTTTGTGATTAAAAGTTTAATTTAGACAATTTAAATTTCAAACCCTAGAATTTTACAAGTTTAAAATACAACCTTATACTAATATAATATTACAAGATTATATATATGTATAACTTAAATGCTAGTCTTACCGTTAGTAGGCCTCATTCACGAAGCCGGTCTATAAGGTGGGTATAAGGTTGCGGCCTATAAAATGGCGCTTAATGGGTGTACACTCACACCCACCGCTCGCTTGATTGGTGGAGGGTCGTTAGCCGAACGGGTAGGATAGGGCAACCTCATCCTCGCATTAAAAGTATAATAAGAAATACAAAGTAACTACATATTTTTTTTTTTTAAATTCCCAATCTTAGTTACTTTAGGAAAAGTGAATTGATGCAATCCCATGAAATTACACTTTGCACCTTGCTAAGAAGTTAGTGGAGCGTGTGTGGTTTACCGGCACACTAATTGGTTCTAAGCGAAGGTGGCAAAGGGTGATTCATTGTTTATCATAGTTCGATGGAGCGTGTGTGGTTTACCGGCACATCGAATAGGTGATCGTTACAATGAAGGCACCATGTGAATTTGCATGGTAATTCACACCCGCTTTGTGATCCTCGGTATCCCAATCACAAACAAGAGGGGCATATCGAGATTTAAACATGCCATTGAAAAGTTTCAATGAATCTCATCCGAACCTAGGAATTCTCAATACATTTAGGACTTAAAGTTATGTTTTTCATGGTGGAGAATTAGTGAATCGTCATTCACTTACCTTCAAATTGTTTGCATATTAGATTACGGCATCCCTTTTCTAATGTGTAAATATTGTTGTTGGATCCTAGCCCTAATTCTTCTTATTGGGTGATAATTAGGGATTCATATTCTAATCTATCTTTGTCCTTTCTATTTGTAGATGTCGAACGCTAACAATGCTGCTGCGAGTTCTTTCACTTTGATGAGCCTTTGTCAAAAGGTCACCTTTGATGGAACGAACTTTAGCGAATGGATAAGATACATTCGCACGATTGCTCGCTATGAGGATAAGGAGTATGTCCTCGATGAGAAGCTCGAGAAAATCAACCCCGAAATCGCTACTCCCGCCGAAATCACCGCTTTCGAAACTCACGAGCGTGATGCAACGAAAGTGCATTGCATCATGATCGCGACTATGAACTCCGAATTCCAAAAGTCCTACGAGGACATGTATCCGTACGAAATGCATCAAGACTTATTGGAGCGATACCATCAAAACGCGAGACAAGAGCGTTATGAGATTTTCACGAACATGATTTCCGCTAAGATGGGTCATGGAGAATCTCTTACCGTGCACTTGCAAAAGATGCAAAGGTATGTCGACCGCCTTCGCAAGTTAAATGTTGACTTTGGGGAAGACTTGGCGATCGACATGGTGCTTCACTCTTTGCCTCCGAGCTACAATCAATTTAGGATGACCTATCACATGAACAAAGAAGAGGTCACCCTAAGCAAACTCCAAGGTCTCTTGAGGGTCGCTGAGAGCAACTTCAAGGACAAGTCTGTTGCACCAACTCCCAATCCGCCCGCTGCTCCTGTCTTGGCAATTGGACAAGGAAAAGGAAAGAAGAGGAAGGCTTCGTCAAAGAACCATCGCAAGGTGAAAGCCCGAGATGGTGCCTCTTCTAGTGGGACCAAAGTTGATCCCGCTAAGCCCTGCTCTAATCCGAAGGAGGCAGAGTGCCACCACTGCCACAAGATAGGACATTGGAAGAGAAGCTGCCCGGAATACCTGCAAGCCATCAAGGAAGGAAAGATCAAGCCATCTTTCGCAGGTATATATACAATTAAATCTAATGATTCCCACAATACTTCTTGGGTTCTTGATACCGGTTGTGGTTATCACATTTGTTCTAATGTGCAGGGACTAAGAAGAAGTAGAGACGTGGAGCATGGAAGAATAAATCTAATCATGGGGAACAGAAGATCGTCGCCTGTGACCAAGATTGGAGTGTATTCTTTAGTGCTTAAGAATAGTTTATCTTTAGATTTGAACAATTGTTGCTATTCGCCAGAAATGGCTAGAAACATCATTTCTTTTCATGGTTTGTTTAGACAAGGTTTTCTTTTAATAATGAGAATGGTTCTATTTTAGCTTATCTAAATAGTGTCTTTTACTTTGAAGCTATACCATGTAATGGAATTTATGAAACTGTTATGATTGTTGATAACTTAGGAAATGATGTTTTGTACTTGGATTCTTCCAATAGTATGGATAAGGCATCCTTATGGCATTGTCGTCTTGGACATGTCAACAAGAAACGCATAGCCCAACTCCAAAAGGATGGAGTGTTGGAGTCATTCGACCTTAGGGAAGATGACACATGCGAGTCTTGTTTACTTGGAAAGATGACTAAGTCACCCTTCCCTGGTACGTGTGAAAGGGGTGAGGGTCTATTGGACCTCATACATACCGATGTGTGTGGATCGTTTAGATCTACCACG